CATGCAGAGCGTGATGTACAAACTGGAGGGTTGGGTCATTTTCTTTAACGTGACACTACACTGTCGCTGAAGAACACATTTAAATTAACACTGCAGAACTGAACTGAAATGTGGCACAAACAGGACAACTGCCAGGCATGCCTTCAAGCACCTCCCCTGGGATGGACCTGCAATCTCTAGACTTCAGTGTGGGGAGGATTACAATTCTTTGGAAGAATAAAAAGTTCATTCACACTTTTGAAATTTCACAGAAGAATTTTAAGGCCAAAACATAGTGGGTTCATTTCTCTTCACTTTCAAGGACAAATCTGATGTTCTTTCTACTCAAACCACATTAAGCTTCCAGTTCAAATCCCAACCCAACCTTGTGACCTCCTGCATTGAAGTTCTTTCCATCAATTAAAGCTGATAAGGTCAGTTTGACTCCTGGTCGAAGGGTCTGAATATAACCCAGTCCAATCAAGCTGGCATTATTTACTTTAGCAGATAGAGAAGTTCTACAATCCAGCTTGTATTTAGCAGCGATGCCGAAACGGGTATTATTACTGCCAGCCGTCCAAGCAAGGTTTATTGACGTTTCAATCTTCTCATTAACCTTCTGGTAGATAGAACCTCCAAATTCAGTGCCATCGTTCACATGAGTGTGCAGCTGGAAGTCTGCGGCCTTGTAACCCAGGGCAAAATTATTCTGTGACAGTTTGGATTTGGCTGTGTCAACTCATCTGATAGCCAGCAAGCCAACCTTCAAAGGCCAACACAGCCCAGCCATAGATGGTTGGTCCAGAAAAATCTATGTCAACATTACTGCCAAGACTGAAACAATCCCGTTTATAGGAAGCCTTTAATTTCCCACTCTTCTTTCCTGTGTTCGGTACAAATATGGTATCAAGAGTCAATTTCAACCCTTCAGCCAACTTATTCTCCAAAGAGATTTCTGTCCCCAGAGTATTGTCTGTGTTCCACTTCTGGGTGAAGGTTAGTCCATAGTTACAGATCTTGTACTTGGTCTCTAGGTTGCCTGACGCTTTCCCTGTATCAGTGTAAGCATGACCAGAAGTGGAAAATTCCACTCCACTACAAGACTTGGTTTTCAGATCTATTTTGACCATGCCAAACCTTTATTGAAGACATCCTTGGCAGCCTTTCCTAGGTCACAGTAAGTCGGTGTGTTACACATATCTCCAACCAGAGGGCCTGTCTCGGCTCCGTCAGGGCAACGCTGAAGGTCTTCCGGAGGGATCACTTCTGAGGTTTATCTTACAAGGGTACAAGTGAATCTTTCTAAGAGCAGAATGTCAACGTTTAAAATAATAAGTAAGAAAATGGCACGAAGGCTATGTTAACCAGTTTGATGGAAGTGTTTTGGAATGTGTGAAAACCCCACAGTGCACCCCAGAAGTGCATTAATGTACATAGTTACCATTCAATAAAAAAAAAAAAAAGAAAAGAAAAGAAAAAGAAAAAGCTGGTGATAGGTGGCGCCTGTGGCTCAAGGGGTAGGGTGCTAGCCCCATATGCTGGAGGTGGTGGGTTCAAACTCAGCCCCAGCCAACTGCAAACAAACAAACAAACAAACAACCCCCTCCCCCCCAGTAACTGGCTCGGCACCTGTGGCTCAAGTGGCTAAGGCGCCAGCCACATACTAAGGTGGTGGGTTCGAATCCAGCCCGGGCCCGCCAAACAACGACAGCTGCAACCAACAAATAGCCAGGCATTGTGGTGGGCGCCTGTGGTCCCAGCTACTTGGGAGGCTGAGGCAAGAGACTCACTTGAGCCCAGGAGTTGGAGGTTGCTGTGAGCTGTGATGCTACAGCACTCTACCCAGGGGGACAGCTTGAGGCTCTGTCTCAAAAAAAAAAAAAAAGAAAGAAAGAAAGAAAGAAAGAAAAGCTGGTGATAGTTTCTCGTTTAAAGAAAAGTTGGTGATATCATGCAAGTTCCTTAGCTTCTCTGGGCTTGGTTCCTGGACTGAAAAATAGAGATAATATGACTTTGCCTGTCTGGTCCATGAGACAGTTTACAGGATCAAACCATAGGAGGGAGATTCTACTTAAACACATAAAATGCCTGAAGATCTGTGGCCAGTGAAGGCTCTTTTCTCAAAAGGCTCCCCCTGGATAGGTCTACCCTAGAGTTTCTCATCCTGGGCATGGCAGACTGCCAGGCTGGGGACACACTACCACTTCCTCCCCTGCAGTGCCAGGCCAAGAGCTGGCTTTGGCAGGGATGTGTTGATCCCAGACTGATTTCTGTGAGTATTAAATATTTTTGTCTCACTCTCATTGAAAAATCAGAGGAATTTCCACCGCCCTGTCCCACTGCCAGTTAGGAGGGTCTGATACAGACAATTGCAGTCCAGCACATTTTCTGCCGACACCAGCTGACGCTTTGGAGGGTCAGGGAAGTCGTATTGGTCTTCTTAACCCCTATCACAGAGTCTAAGTTTCCTACAGAAGCACAAGCTTCTGAGTCACCTTCTCTCAGGGCTGTGGCAAGCTGTGGCCATGCCCAGCTATTCTGCCTGCCTAGGGAGGGCTAAGCATCCTGGTCTGGAATCTCAGAATACTTTGCATATTTTCATCCACTGAACTTAGGACATCCTTTGCCTCCTTCACAAGGACTGTTGGCACCTTCAGGCCACACTAGCAGCCTCATGTCCATGTCCCACTGTCTCACCTCGGGCCAAGATGACTGTGGTACACGTGACAATTCCATGGTCCCTTTTCCTCTGCCCACAACACCGAGCACAGCAGCAGTACTTGTCTCTTGGAACCCTGCTAAGAGCCCTACCAAGAGCCCTGCCAACTGCCTGGGCTACCAGAGACCAGCATTTTCCAACTTTGGATCTTCCCCATTTTGAAAGTTGTCGCTCATCCCTTGTGTTCTCCTGTGGGCTCTCTCCCTTCATCTCAAGCAAAAGTCTTCGTACTGCTGGCATGCCCTTGCACCCTGTGCCAAGCACAGTCGTGTCTCAGCCGGGACCCTGCCATCGGCCCCTGCTTCCAGGAGGACCTACCCCTCCCTAATGACATATACTTACTTTGGTCCTGCTGCCACTGGAAACATCTGGCCTATGATGAGCTCAACTGAGAGTCTGTTGTCTGTGTACAGTTAGCATATGCTGAAATCATAAAGGTCATCTGCCTTGATAGAAACTTCAGGAAAACCAGAATCTGGCTTAGTTTTCTGTAGCGTTGAGTATCTACCACTGCTGAGTATCATGGCAGAGGCTCTGTGAACATCCCTCTTTCATACTCCCGGCTGGCTTGGGAGGTAAGGACTGTAATCCTAACTCCCTGGTGAGGAGGTTCTGGGGTCTGCTACTTACTGAAGGCCACACAACTCCAAGCGATGAAGTGGGGGTCATCCCACTATATGTCAAGCTTACTATGCGGGTAGAGTTCATACTTTTTTCCACTACTGCCGTCCTCTCTCTCTGTATAGCAAGCAAGTCATCCAAATATGACAGAGGATAAACAATGATAAAGGAACAGTGGCTCACTCAATAAGATCACTCCCATTAGCATGCAGACATGCAGTGCTACTACCCAGTTCACAAAGTCATCTTTTTTCCTTTTTTGAGACAGAGTTTTGTTGTATTGCCCGGACTAGAGTACCGTGGGATCATTAGCTTACTGCAACCTCACAGTCCTGGTGTCAAGTGATTCTTTTGCCTCAGCTTCCCAAGTAGCTGGGACTACAGGTACCCACCAGAACACCTGGCTAGTTTTTCTATTTTTAGTAGAAACAGGTTTCACTTTTGCTCAGGCTGATCTTGTACTCCTGAGCTCAAGCCACCTTTCTGCCTCAGCCTCCCAGAATGCTAGGATTACCGGTGTTAGCTAACGTGCCTGACCATTCACGGTGGCTTTTAACATGCGAGGCAGATACTGTCACTCTGATACTTGAAACCCTCAGAGCTCTTGTCCTGCCAGGTAAAGCCCACATACTCATAACAATGGCCAATGAAGTCGAGACCCCTGCCCATCTGCCACGCTCCTCACCCACTCTGTGCTGTCACACTGGCTGCCTGACTATTTCTCCCAACTCAGGGCCTGACTTACTTTTGCTACCTTGAAGGATTATGTACACATACACACACATATGTGTTTATTATTATACATGCACACATTTATGTGTTTATCTGTCTCTCCTACAGAACATAAGCTCTATAAGTGTGGGGACTCGTTTTGTTTACTACCCTATTCCCGGCACTGGGCACTTGGCTGGTGCTCAGATTGATTAATGAATACTCAGAGTGTAGGTTCCTACACTCACTGCCCTGCAGCGTCTCAAGCACAGTACAGGCGCTGGCCTTGGAATCAGGCATGAGGCCAGAGGAGTTGAGTCTCCAGTTCCACTCTGTGTCCTATAGGTGTGCTATCTGGTACCTGGAGGACTGAGGTACAGGACTCTAGGCCAGACGGCAGAGCAGAAAGCATGTGGCCGACATGGGGGCAATGTGCCAGAGCACTGCTGACTGCTGCTCCCTGCCAGAAGAGGATTAGCAATAATCCCAACCATTCATCCAGAGCTTTACAGTTTACAAAGTGCTGTCACATCTGATATTGCATCTGGACTACACTACTGCCCCAGAAGGTGGACAGAGGAGGACCATGATCCTCATCATACAGATGACAATGCAAGGTCCCTGAGGTCAAGTGTCCGGCCTGAGGCTGAACAGTGAGTGGTGGCGCTGGGTACTGAGCCAGGTCTTCTTGCCCACACCTGCTGCTGTGTCCTGCCTAGGGTGATTTCTGTCAAATGGGACCTCTAGGGCCAGAATGGGTGTATTTCTGCTCTCCAAACAAACCACCAGGTAAAAAAACACAAATTATTTATTCTTTGGTTGTCTACATAGTTACTTAAATACTGTATTGCTGTCACGTGGCTACTTGTGTAGGACCCAGTGGTGACTCTAGGCCTGCATCCTGAGCTCTCAGCCCAGTCCACCCCAAGAGCAGCAGCACCATGCAGAGGGCCGTGAGCAGGACCTCTGGCTGGGCAGCAGAGGCAGCCCCAATGCTCCATGGCTCAGAGGGCTTGGCAGTCCCCTTCCCCTTGGGTCTTAGCACCAATCCACCTGGAACCTGGGTGCTGTCATAGCTCGTCCTTGGACCTTGACATACTGTTTGCAAGAGACTCTTCTGCAGGCTTTGGGGGGTCCTGCTGGGTGTCCAGGGGCTGCTCCTGGGGGATGTCCACCTCTTCTGGGCTGAAGAGCATCTTTACCAGGTCATCTGCCTGCACCCTGTCCTGCAAGGACAAATGCCTGCCTGTTTAGAGAGGCCTCTGGCCCAACTCACCATCTCTCAGTGGCTACCTCCCTTAATGGCTCTGGGCTCATCTTCTTCCCAGCAGGTCCTGGAGGAGGACTGCTGAGGTGGGCCCCTGGAGGGAACCTGGAGCTCAGCATCACTCCCCATCTTGGCCACCCCACTTGGAGCCCTAAGTTCAGGTTAGGAAGAAAGCCCAGGGAAGATGAGGCAAGGTGGCCACCATGACACTGCAGCAGGGCTGGAGTCTCATGCCTAGTGCCCCTTTCACATCTAAGTCACTGGCAATGGGATTTGGGGAAAGAGGAGACAAAATAAGTGCCCTCCAGGAGCAGGTGGCAGCAGCACAAGCTGGCCTCACCCGCTCGCTGTGTCGAGGGTCCAGAGTGAACCATAGGGCGATGGCACAGCGCTGCCCCCTGGTGACAGCCTTCACTCCGTGCGGGTTGTCAGTGCCGGATGAGAATCCCACGGCTCTTCCACACTGGGGCTGCACCTCTGCCTAAGGGGGACAGAAAGGGGAAACACAGAGGACAAGGGCTGTCACTCATCCTCAGAAGAAATGTGGCCCCACTGGTGCCAGGACTGAAGACAGCTCTATAGCTGGGCTTCCAAAGGGAGGGGCGGGCATGGGGGAGAAGGTGCTGCTCACAGGAAGCCCAGTTGGTTCCTCTGTCCACTGTAGTTTGGGGACATCAGCTGCAGAACACAGGACTTGTTTCTCCCAGGATGATAGGGAGACAAAAGCCCTTTTTATAAATAAAAGGATGACCTTTTATCTCCCAGGTGCTCACCGTCACAGTCTTGGCATCCAGTTCAGTGAAATAAAAGTTTCCTCCATCGAAGTCCCCATTCAGGTAGAGAATGGCACTGGGAAAGGCAAAGATAGCTCCACATGGCTCT